AATATTTTCAAAGCTGTATCACTTCAGTTTTTTTTTTTTTTAATTGGGACTATCTCCAAATACACTTAGGGGCTGAAAAGTGAATTTTTGGCTATTGTAAGCCATTTGGCAATTTTAATCTTGGATTTCCCCACATTTCTGTTTGTTAGACTACAATCAGAAATTCTTATGAAACATAGGAAACTTGCTCAGACTTTCACTTGAAACACAGCGTAGTTAAGAAAAGCAAAACTGGAGCTCTAGCACCAGATTCTAGAATTAAGTGAAGGCAGTGGTTTTACTCCCGGGTGGGGTGGGGGTGTCTGCAAGGAGTGCCAGCTGGGTGTGCAGGCTGATGGGGGCGCTGCCCTTCATGTACTGACGTGCAGTCTGTGAATTTCACTGACTTGCAGATACGTGCCCTTTTCTGAGTATGTAAGGAATACGTCAATTAAAATTAAAAAAAATTAAACAACCCATGAAATTGTAGTTAAAGAAGTCGCTGAGTAGGGGAACGTCTCTGACTTTCCCAAGTACTGCCTCTGCCTGGGTAGTGAGCAAGTCTGAGGCAAGGGGTTTCCGGGCCACACCCCTGGGACTTGAGTCTTCTGATCATGCTCATTCTTTGGTTAAGCAGTTCTTTAAAAGGTCAAGTTAAAAAAAATTTCATAAGACAGCCTTTGATCAAAACTTGACAAGTGAAGAAATATGGGAAAATCCCTTCCCCCAAAATGACGTCACTTGGCGCTCGGTGACCAGTCGCTCAGTTGTGTCCGACTCTTCTGTGACCCTTTGGACGACAGCCCGCCATCCTCTGTCCATGGGATTTCTCAGGCAAGAATATTGGAGCGGGTTGCCATCTCCCCTTCCAGGGGATCGTCCCAGCCCAGGGCTTGAACCTGCGTCTCCTGGCCCCCTACATTGCAGGTAGATTCTTCATGGCTGAGCCACAGGGAAGCAAAATGATCCCACAAAATCATTCTGTCTTATTTGACATTGAGCCCCAAATCGATTCACGCATGTTCATGGAATCCCTACAGGGTGCAGGTGTCATGATGAATATACAAGAGAGATGGAACCAGACCACAGAAGGCTCTGCTCTTTAGTTGCACAGACAGCCTACACACAAATGAAAAGAACCTTCCTAGGGATAATGTGATGAGTATCAGCTACTGATGCAAGAACTAGGCTTGCTGTGTTCTGGAGAGGTCAGACTTTCTAGCCCACAACATACTGGAATTTACTTACAAATTGAATATACACCCAATAAAATTTAGATTTCTGCTGAAATCTGGGTTGGATTTATAGGAAAATAAGAATGGGTAACATTCTGGTATATTACTTAGCAACATTTAGCTGTTAAACTTTTGGGCATGGTTATAAAATGATGACAAAACTGACGTTGAGAAAGCTGAATATTCTAGAGAAAATCTAGAAGAATACTATAATTCTGTTAGTTATAAATCCACTAAATGTACTGGTGTGGCTTAAAAATAAGTGTGAAATCAAATACTATATATCATTTACTTGAAAACTCTGTATTTTTTTAAACAGTTTAACAAGCAATTTGAAAATGCCAAGGCTCCAAAGTAGCAGTAACATTTTTAAATTAATCATGAAAGAATAGTGAAATCTATATAAGGAAAACTGCCTTATTATGGAATTTTAAATTTTATATTTAATATAAATATTAAAAATACTTGAATAGATAAATTCAAAATGTGAAAATTCATTTTTCTTCAGTTACAGGCTTTATAAAATTCCAATAAAATGCATCTAAACATATATAGATAGCTAATAAGTGAAATGAAAACTAACATTTTAAAACTAAAAGGGATAACCTAAGGCTTTTGAGTTTTACTTAAAATAAGTCACAACTAGAATGGAAATGAAAACCAAAGAAAGTTGCATAGATTCAAACTGCATAGAATTTTATCAATTCCAAAAGAAGGACCTTACCAAACAGAAAACAAAGGAAAATCATGGAGCTTCATACAAACTTCTTGGTATATACATATACAAATTTTAAAGTAGTGCTAAACAAAATGACATTTTCCCTGCATGAAAGAATGAAATAACATTCAAGTCAATTTTATTGACAAGAATTGCTGATAATAACTATCATTGCATTTTCTCATTTTTAAATCTTTCCTCTGGGATCTATGAATGCTGTAAGTATATGTAGAGAGAGACATAGAGATATATATGTAAGTACTGCACATGCAACTACGTATACAGTATATATGCTGTATATATATACATATATATGCAGTATGTACTATATATATACATAATATATGTACATAAATATAATACATATATATATATGTATGCCATATATATGCTACATTAAAGTTTTATAAAAATCTGAGCAAAATCATGATATTGATAATAGTGATTATATCTGTGCCATGGAAACTGGGTGGATTCTTATCATTGGTTATTATTTTCTGATATTATTCAAATTTTCTAAAAATTGAAAGTTATTTGGGGAAAAATTTTTGTGAGTATACCATTTTTGGATGCCTTAGAAACACAAATATGAAAAAACATTCACATGAGAGGATATTTTAAAATATTAATAGAACATACTTTGGGGAAGTGGGACTTAGGGAGTTATTGATTTCTTACTCAGTTTTTTCCTTCTTAAATCTCCTGTAATGAGTCTAAGTCCTCTTGGAATGGGAGAGCTAGGGTTTATTTTTAATAATAAATTCACAGGCAGGAGTACTAGCAGACAAGGTAGAAGGAGAGTGAGGCATTCTCACCCTACTAGATATTGAAGCTCATTATATTACAAAATTCCTTAAAATATTTAATGCAGATAAATAGGATAGTAAATCAATGACAAAAAGCAGTCTCAAAATAGATTCAACTATATATGAGGAACTCAATATAATATAGTAAGTGTTTCAATGCAAATGAGTTAAAAAAGAATCATCTAATTAATTTGGTTTAGATATTTAGCAACGCTTGGGAAGGAAAAAGTAAAAGAAGAAAGGAGAAGTTAGGGCTAGTATAACATGATCCACGAAAATAAACTCTAGGATTAATGGATTTAATGCCAAACTACAACAGTAAATTATTAGAAAAAAGTCAAAATGGCAGAAAAAATAGCAAACTACTTTAAGAGATTATGGATAAATATGTATTTTAACTTTGATGTCTTAGAGAAAATTTTTAAAAAGGGTATCACATTAAAATATACAGATGCAAGATCTCTGCACAGGTTCTAAAAAGCAGCAAAATATTGTGAAAACATTTACATCAAAATTTTGATAAACAAGATGCCTAATACAGAGTTTATTCAAAATCATTTTTAAAATAGGACAGATGAATGAGGGAAGTTATAAATAAAAATTAGTAGAGGATAAAATTAGAAGCTATCAAAATATGTGAAAAGAAGATAATTCTTATTTGTAAGCAAGCCACAAATTTAATTCGAGGCACTGTTTTTCAACTACTGAGCTAGACAAAATACATCTTTAAAGATAAAATGTGAAAGGATGTGAAAAACTTGTACACTGCGTTTCTGGTTGCATTCATTTATAATTCATCCGGAAAACAATATTGCAACAGGTAGCAAGGCTGATAAAGATGTTCATACTCTTTGGCTCAGACATTCTATCTACGGAATTTATATTGAGTATATGCATCAAATTCCTCAGAAACAAAGAGATTTGCACAAAAATTTTGACATATTCCATTCTACCAAAAAAATTGGAAATGATCATGATAATTATAAGATAACAAATAAATTAATATAGGTATGTGAGAATTACTTAGAAATAAGGAAAAGGCTTATTGTGTAATAAGTGAACACAAAAATATACCATGGTATATATGCCATATTTTTTCAATTATGCAGAAAATATGAATGACAAAATGCAAAATATGAAGATAAGGATTTTAGAGTATAGTAAACATATGAGGGTTTTCCAGTTTTAAAATGTGTAAACCCAATTGCTTCTGACAACTGGCACGGAGATATGACAACCGGATACAAAATGTATTCCTGTATAAAACTAAGGAAGAATTTTTTCCATGAATAAGGCATTTACTGAAAAATAAATTTACAGAAGCAGCATCGTGTGTGTGTGTGAGGGAGAGGCAGAATACCTAATCTGTCTCTCGAGCACTCTCCTTCAAAGTGCAAATACAGGTGAATAATTACACCTGTTCGGTTTGCCTCACAGTCACCACTAAGGTTAAAGGAAACTGGAGGACAACACCTCTCCCGATACAAGCCTGGCACATTCTAGGGGCTAAAAAATGCTCCTGCAATGTACAAGGGAGACAGCAGGAAGGGATTGTTAAATTGCAATATTAGTAAAGCAATGCAAATTCCCTTTTCCATCCTTGACATGACGGAACTGGAGCTGAAGGTTTGGGGTGTCCTTCCCCCCAAATCTGAGATGTCTGTGGAGCAGGTAGAAATCACTGAAGAACTATTACAGTGGATTATAAACCTGTGTAGCTCCTGCAAGAGCATTATAATAAGGAAAAGCTTTAAAATCTCTGTGCCCCAGTGTGTAAAATAGGGTTCTTATTAAACAGGGAAGAAATCAAATAGAGCACCAACATGCACCTGCCCGGTCTCCACGTGGTTTCGCCGCAGCTACGCCCCTCGGAGATGCTGTCTGCCCCTCGTCTGGACCAAACCTCATTCCAGACTAGCTCCTGGCGCTTTTCCCCCGCCCGGGGAATGCCAGACGGTGTTCCTGACGTGGGCGCGAGCTCTCCCTTTGAGGGGACACGTGCGCCCCTCTCCCCTCCTGCGTGCTCCAAGCGCCGCCGCACAGACGGATGCCCCCGAAACTTGCTCACAGGCGGACGGAACACGCGGTCAGCCCAGGACACTGGCCAGGGCTTGACTCCGCCCTGGGGGGCACACGGGCTTGGGATGCCGTTTCCAGCCTCCGGCTTCTGTTCGGCGCCCCTCTCCCAGGCGGGATGCTCTCCTCCTCACCTGGGCCCTGGACCCCGGACGCCTGGGCGCTTCTGTTCCCCCGCAAACGTACCTGTTTCTTCTGCCTCCGGCAGGCCACGCTTACTCCTGCCGCTCTGGCTGGAATTGCTTTCTCCCGGAGCTGGGGGTGCAAAGATCCGCTGCTAAGAGAAAAGCCCCACCACGTTACTGCCGGGGCGTCGGGGTCTGGGGGCGGGGGGCGGCGGTGGGGGGCTGCGGCTACAGCGGCACACTCACTTTCAGGGCCGGGGTGACGCCCGGAGCCTCCCGCGCGGCCGCGGCCCCGGCCTGGGGGGCGCCCGGCCGCCCCCGCAGCTCCGCCCGGAGGCTGCCCAGCTCCGCTTGCAGGGACGCCACCCAGCAGAAAGCCAGCACCGTGAGGCAGCTGGACGAGGCGGCGAGCAGCAGGGTCACGGCCAGCAGCTTTCCATCTTTGGAGCACCGGCCGGAGGGGCTTTCCTCCTGGGGCAGGACGGAGCCTCCCTCCTTCAGTTTCATTTCTTCTCTGGTCTGAGGGTAAGAAAGGCGGGACTGCAACCCGGTGGAGTCATCCATTTCCCTCCTTGAACTTTGCAGGTTGGGGCCCCTAGCCTGAGTGATCGCAGGGAATGGATCATTTCCTGTTATCTGCGTTTGTTGATGTCCCACATTGACTGCACGGCCCACCCCGGCCGCGCTCGCCCTGGGGCGCGTTCTCCTGAATTTTCTTCTCTCTGCCGCGGCTGCATCTCTTGCCCTAACTGTAGGCTAGGTCTTCCTGGCATTCACCCTTCTATCCGATTGCTCAATCTGCCTTCCTCATTTCACTTTCAGTTTTTGTAAGAATTTTAATGGCATCTCAGAACACTCAGGCACAGACCCGGGGGCCCCCAAAGATCTGATGGGGAGGGAACTGGCAGTTCGGACCAGCACACTCCGGGAGCTTTTAAGATAGGAAGGTGTTTAAGGAGCGGCCCCTCAGGCATTAGGAGGGGCCTGGGTCCACTTGGGGCCAAGTGGCTTTGTAGGGAAGGGGGAAAGAACAGGAATAAGTTCCTGCTAAGTATGATAAAGATAATTCATGTGAAGGTCAAATAAGCTAAGTGCTTTAGTGGTGAACCGGGCTCCACTGGAGAGTGATTTACTAACAGTCTTTAAGTAGGAAATAAAATGAAGTGTCCTCAAAGGAGGCACAGAGGTCCACTGGGAGGTACTCTACACCGTTACCATCTTGGCGATGTGATAAACGGAATGTGCCTACATTCTGGAGAACTGTTAAGATCAGCTACGCGGGGGGAGTCTTTCTACGTGGGTAGGTGCAGTTTCCAACAGAAATCTGAGGTCTTCCTCCAGGGACTCACGGCTGGGAGTCAGCTGTTCACGGGCGGGCCAGGCTGCAGGAGCCCTCCCACCTCTGTGGTCCATATTTCTGGAGCTGCAAGCCCCCAGCACACTGGATTGGGGAGAAGGGACCTTCTCCGGCTCTGGGTTCCCGGGAACCCTCATTAACTGCTCTCTTCCTAGAGGAGCTTATCTGCTCTTCCCCACTAGCCCACTCGAGCCACTCAAACATATGACCCAACCTGGGTGCATGCAACTCCACCCAGAGGGGCTTGGACTTCAAGTCTCTATCGTGGGACGTGGTGTGTGGCCTGTGAGTCAGTATCCTCTTTGGGTGGGTGATAACTGTCCCTGAGAATCCTAACAAGACTCCCAGGAACGTGGAACAAGCTACCTTTAAGATGCTTCCATTTCCATTCATTCCATCCATTCATTATGTGGAATCTATTCATTCATTTTATGAACGGAATGTTTCATTTATTCAGTTGTAATATGTTCATTATTGCTGCAACGGACGTCTTTGTGCCTTTCCCTGGACATAGCTGCAAGGGCTTCGCGGGCACCCACCTGCTGGAGAAAAGGCCCATGCTCACCTTGACCAGGTGTCTCCGAGTTACCTGCCAGGACTGCCTGCTTCCTCCATGTCTCACTAAGTGTCATGTCATCAGCCTTAGTCATTTTTATGTATTGGGACTTTATTTTTTCCTTTGCACCTGCAAGCTCCAAGACCTTTTAAAATGACTTTTAAAACTAGTTTTCTATTTAAAAAAATGAAAAAGTGTTTCAGTGATTCCCTTGGTCCCATCTCGCCGGTGGCAGTCGTCATCTGTCAGTGGGCATGTAGAATCTTTTATGGAACACAAGCTTCCTGACATTTCTTGTTTCCAGTCAATCAGGATAAAACACACCAGATAACAGTTCAGTTTTTCAAAAGAGGATTAGTTTGGGGATTGCTTTCTGACTGAAAGTAATTGGAACTCTCCCAGATTATATGGGGATGTATTCCCAGGTGGTGCTAGTGGTAAAGAACTCGCCTGGGTTGGGAAGATCCCCTGGAGAAGGACATGGCAACCCATTCCGGGGTTCTTGCCTGGAGAACCCCATGGACAGAGGAGCCTGGCGGGCTACAGTCCACACGGTTGGCAGAGTCGGACACGTCTGAGCGACGTACCACACATTCATAGCACCGAAGCACATAGAAGAACAAAAGAATTCAAGGCAGTGCTGGAAACCGATTCCTCTCTTTTTCATACTGGACACCTGCAGGGTCTTTCTGTGGGTGGACATCCTTCCCTTTCGGATAGGCCACTTCTGTCCATGTTCTGCAGTAAAAGTTCAGAAAAGAAAGGAAATACTTTCCTATAAGAAGTTAGCTGTGCCTTCAGCAGCTCTTCGGAGGAGCAGTCTGCCTGCATCCCACGTGGTCCTGGACCACCAGTGGGTGCCCCCAGCTAGAGCTCCCTCCTCCAAAGGCAGAAGGGGGAGGCCCTGCCCAGGACATGGGCAGGTGAGGTCCCCCCACGCCCATGATGTGATTCAGTTTCTCAGAAAACAGGTAGAAAATGAAGTGGCATTCCTGTGCTCTCGAATTTCTTACTAGAGGAATAAAAGGAAGTTATTACTCCATCAATCTAGGATCTGTTTCCTGCAGAGGAAAGGGTGTGACAGTAATTTAACCGAAAATCTGTTCAACAAATCTGACAGTCCTTAGTCATTGACTCACTGGTCACATTCATGCTTATTCAGGGCTGGCGCTGAGCCAAGACTTCTCTGCCGTGATTCAATTCCTTTTCGCCCACTTCTTTTTCTCACCTGGAGTGCCCAGCATTCTCGTGCAACAGAGCCAAGACGCACTGAATAAACAAAATGAGTCCTCTGTCCCCTGACCCAACCACTCAGCAGAGGGCAGACAGGAACAGGAGAGAGGATATTTGAATAGAACTAAAGTCAGGAGTTTATCTGACTGATGAATCACAGCGTAAAACAGACATCTGCTCTGTGACCGCTTGCTTCTTATATTGACAACCTCAAAGATATTCGGAAAGCTTAACTAACTTCTGGCTTAACAATCCTATGAGGAATTAGCTGGTTTGGGAACTCCCTCCTATACCCATTTCTTTGAGGGAAAAAAAGTATCTTTCATAAAGATTTGGATGATCCAAGAATGGATCCAAGAATGGATTCCTTCCAGAAATGCAGAGGTACCTAAAAATAGATCCAGGTTAAACTGGCTTCCTCAAGTACTTAGAATATGGCAAATGGTTGCATACAGATAACTACTACATTTCAGAAAAAAAAGGATTCTGTTTTCTGATGGAAATATATACATTCAATCAGTTGCTGCTGCCATTACAGTGAAACTTGATTTGGAAGGCCAAGTGCTAATCGTCTAATTGAACCAGAAAGTAATGGCATGTTTTTAAGCATAGACAGATCTGGTTACTTCTACAAAACCTGATGCCGGTGACTGGCAACGCTTATTTCTATTTCTTAATGGCTATATTCGAAAGAGGAGAGTGTGTGTATTTACTGGAGCTTAATTTTTGTAGTGCTAAGTGGCTTCAGTCGTGGCCAACTTTGTGCGACCCCGTGGACTGTAGCCCACCAGGCTCCTCTGTCCCTGGGATTCTCCAGGCAAGAACACTGGAGTGGGTTGCCATGTCCTCCTCCAGGGGGTCATCCAACCCAAGGATCGAAACTTAACGTCTCTTAACATCTCCTACGTTGGCAGGCGGGTTCTTAACCTCTAGCACCAAAAATGAGTTTTGTTACTTTTGGGGAAAAAAGCTTTTTTTGTAAGACTTCAGTTTCATTTGTGAATTGTCCTCAGTTTGCAGTGTGGCTGCTTTCAGATTTAATTCTCTTGAGTACGCGTTTATCTAAGTGTGTATTTTTAAGAAATTTCTGTTTAATACTATTTTCAGTTAGTATACAATTTAGTTTGTTATCCTTTACTTTTTTAATACTTCCAAGGATAATATTTTCATTTGTATTACAATGAATATGTATCAATCCATGTGGTCATCTATTTCATATATATCGACTAATTTTTCTGTTTCACACACATGACACGGAGAATACATATTGACACGCATGTGTGCTAAGTCGCTCAGTCGTGTCCGACTCTTTTTGACCCCATGGACTGTAGTCTCCCAGCCTCCTCTGTCCGTGGGGTTCTCCAGGCAAGAACACTGGAGTGGGTTGCCATGTCCTCCTCCAGGGGATCTTCCCCACCCAGGATCGAAGCCGTGCCTCTTAAGTCTCCTGCATCGGCAGGCAGTCTCTTTACCGCTCAGCCTCACACCGGGAAGCCCCACGCTGACACACAGGCACCTCAAATAGTACCTGGTCAGATCCGATCACCTCAAAAATGTTGGGAGAAATAGAGAATTATACCCATGTAGGAAACATTACTTATGAAATTCTGTCTGTCTTTACAGATGAATAAAGCAGAGTTTGCAAATGTTTTTAGAGATTTACTTGAAATTTTGTTATTAAATGTGAGAAGTAGAAAGATAGGTCTCAGGTGTACAGCCTCAGAAGTCAGACACATCTGGATGCCGGATTTTGTTTCACCATCTTAACAAACTCTTTCCTGGCCCGAATCTAGAAACCCATCGTGTTCAGACAGCCATCTTGGTAGGATGATAACTGCACGCTTTAACCCTCATCATCGCAACGCAATCCTGGTGATCCCATCCACACCAGCGTTGACTGCTGAGACTGTACTGATAGAAGGTCTTAACAATCAGATGCGGGCGGGGGAGGCTCATGAGAAAGAGTTTGTCATCTTTAAAGAGATGTTAGTGAGACCCTGGGCTCTACCAGGTCTTAGATAGAGAAAAAAGATGTGACCTTCTTCTCCCAAAGCCAGCGTTGGCAGTACTGAACCTGGGACCGAGGCTCAGTGGGTCTTGGAATAAACAGAGCAGAAATCTGCGGGCCCAGGCATTGGGGGGGTCAACCCCCCATAAGTATGCTAGGCATCCTCAACCTGGGGAGGGCCCAGAAGAACCAGGTAGAGCGGAGCTGGTCCTCCCGTCCCTGGGGCTGGGAGGAGGTAAGGAGGCAGGGGACGCGAGTGTCTCTCCTAATGCCAGTCCCTCACGGGTAGACTGCAGGCTTCCCTGTGAGCACCGGCCCGGCTTATCCGGATGGGGAGGACTTGGTTTCCCACCAGCTGAACCAGCAGAGGAAAGGGACGAGATGCTTAGGAGAGGTGAGAAGGCGCAGAA